TATATTACATCTACATACATTATAAACCCCATAACACGGTGCTATAATTTTTACTTGGAATGGTAATGTTAAAGAAATCAAGAGGAAGAACTAGTCTTTGGTATTTATCTATATGTTTACCATTTCTGATGCTTTTTATTACTGAGACCCAAGTAATATGTGGCATTACTTTCCTTCAGCCTGAAGAAATTCTTTTAGCATTTCTTATAGTGTGTGTCTGCTGGTGACAATTTTGCCTTCATTATTAAAGGTTATCTTTGTTGGATATGGAATTCTGGATGGGCAGTTGTGGAGATTCTAGACTCTGTAAGTTTCCCTCTTAGAGTATTATTTTATTTTAGCAGGCAGTTAACTTTGCTGAACTCACCTTTGCAAACTCTGTCTTTCCAATGGTGAGCAGCAGCTGAGATCTTAGTTCTGTTATTTTTGCTTTAGTAAAAGGAGTTGGGAACCTGTCCTGCATTTGCATAGTTTAGGGGTCAGCCAGAGACTTGGGCAGAGTTTATACACAGAATTTAGAGTCTCCTCCTTTGTGGTTCTCTCCTTTCTGGGAACTATATAAAGAGTCAATAAATAGATCCACATATACATGGTCAGCTGGCTTGCAACAGAGGTGCAAAGACAAATTAGTGGAGAAAAGATAACCTTTTCAACAAATGGTGTTGGAACAATCAGTTTTTTTATGCAAAAAACAGAAAACTTTGATTCGTATCTCGCAGCAGATACAAAAATTAACTCAAAGTGGATCATAGACTTAAATGTAAAATATTAAACTATAAAATATCTAAAAAAACCCATAGGAGATCATCTCTGTGACCTTGGGTTAATCAAAGATTTCTTAGCTACAACACTAAAAGCATGATCCATAAAAGAAAAAAATTGATAAATTGGACTTCCTCAAATTAAAAACATCTGCTCTTTACAAAACACTATTAAGAGCACAAAAAGGTAAGCCATAGACCGGGCGAAAGTCCAGGCATACCTCAAAGATAATTGCAGGTTTGGTTCCAGACCACTGCAGTAAAGCAAATTTCACAATAAAGTGAGTCACACAAATTTTGGGGTTTCCCAGGGCATATAAAAGTGATGTTTACACCATACTGTAGTCCATTACGTGTGCAAGAGCATTATGCCTAAAAAACAATTTATGTATCTTAATTAAAAATACTGCTAAAAATTGCTAACCATCATCTGAGTCTTCAGTGAGTTGTAATCTTTTTGCTGGTGGAGGGTCTTGCCTCGGTGTTCACGGCTGCTGACTGATCAGGATAGGGGTGGCTGTGGCAATTTCTTAAAATAAGACAACAATGAGGTTTGCTGCATCAAATTACTCTTCCTTTCATGAACAATTTCTCTGTAGCACGCATTGCTGTTTGATAACATTTTACTCAGGAAAACTTTCAAAATTGGATTCAGTCCTCTCAAATCCTGCCACTGCTTTACCAATTAAGTTTATGTAAATAAAGTAAATATTTTGTTGTCATTTCAACAATTTTCACAGCATCGTCACCAGGATTAAATTCCATCTCAAGAAACCATTCAAAAGAAGCAACTCCTTTATCATGAGATTGCAGCAATTCAGTCACATCTTCAGGCTCCACTTCCAATTCTAGTTCTCTTGCTCTTTGCACCACATCTGCAGTTACTTCTTCTGCTGAAGTCTTGAACCCCTCAAAGTCATCTAAGAGTGTTGGAATCAACTTCTTCCACATTCCTCTTAATGTTGATACTTTGACTTCTTCTCATGAATCGCAAATGTTCTTAATGGCATCTAGAATGGTGAATCCTTTCCAGGAGGTTTTCGATTTACTTTTTGTCCAGATCCATTGAAAGAATCACTATGTGTGGCAGCTATAGACTTACAACATGTTATTTCTTAAATAGTAAGACTTGAAAGTTGAAATTACTTCTTGATCCATGGGCTGCAGAATGGATGTTGTGTTAGCAGGCATGAAAACAACATGAATCTTATTGTAAATCTCCATGAGAGCTCTGAGGTGACCCAGGTACCCTGTCAATGAGCAGTAATATTTTGAAAGGAATCTTTTTCTCAGCAGTAGGTCTCAACAGTGGGCTTAAAATATTCAATAAACCGTGTTGTAAATAGATTACTATCATCTAGGCCGTTTTGTTCCATTTATAGGGCACAGGCAGAGTAGATTTAGCATCATTCTTAAGGGCCCTAGGATTTTCAGAGTAGTGAATGAGCACGGGCTTCAACTTAAAGTCACCAGCTGCATTAGTCCCTAACAAGAGAGTCAGCCTGTCCTTTGAAGCTTTGAAGCCAGGAGTTTGACTTATTCTCTCTGGCTATGAAAGTCTCTAGCTATGAAAGTATCCTCCCAATATAAGGCTGTTTTGTCTACACTGAAAATCTGTTATTCATTGTAGCCACTTTCATTAATTATCTTAGCTAGATCTTCTGGATAACTTGCTACAGCTTCTACATCAGCACTTGCTGCTTCACCTTGCACTTTTATGTTGTGGAGATGGCTTCTTTCCGTAAATCTCATGAACCAACCTCTGCTAGCATCAAACTTTTCTTCTGCAGCCTCCTTACCTCTCATAGCCTTCATAGAATTGAAGAGAGTTAGGGCCTTGCTCTGGCTTAGTCTCTGGCTTAAAGAAATGTTGTGACTGGTTTGATCTTCTATCCAGACCACTAAAACTTTTTCCATATCAGCAATAAGGCTGTTTTGCTTTCTTATCATTCATGTGCTCACTGGAGTAGCATTTTTAATTTCCTTCAAGAGCTCTTCCTTTGCTTTCTCAACTAAGCTAACTTTGGCTAAGAGGCCTCACTTTCAGCCTGTCTCGGCTTTCGGCCTTCCTCACTAAGCTTGATCATATCTAGCTTTTGATTTGAAGTGAGAGACATGTGACTCTTCCTTTCACTTGTAGGGTTAGGAGCCATCGTAGGGTTATTAATTCGCCTAATTTCAATATTGTTCTGTCCTAGGGAATAGGGAGGCCCAAGGAGAAGGAGGAGACAGGCAATGGCCGGTTGGTGGAGCAGTCAGAACACGCAACATTTATCAATGAAGTTGGTTATCTTATATGGGCGTGGTTTATGGCACCCCCAAACAGTTACAACAGTAACATCAAAGATCACTGATCATAGGTCACCATAACAAATTTAATAATGATGAAAAAGTTTGAAATGTTTCAAGAATTATGCAGAGCCAAGAAATGAGCATATGCTATTGGAAAAATGGTGCTGATAGCCTTGAACAATGCAGGGTTGCCTCAACCTTCAATTTTTAAAAAATGCAGTATCTGCGAAGTGCAATAAAGTGAAGCACAATAAAACAAGGTATGCCTATGTTTACAAATCACACATCTGATAAAGAACTTTTGTCCAGAATATGTAAGGAACTCTCGAAACAATAATAAGAAAATAAACCACCTATTTAAAAAAATCAACAAAATATTTGATCAGATATTAACCGAAGAAGATATACAAATGGCAAATAAGCACATTAAAACATGCTCAACATCGTTAGGGAAATGCAAATTAAAACCACGAGGTATCGGGACTTCCCTGGTGGCGCAGTGGTTAGGAATCCGCCTGCCAATGCAGGGGACACGGGTTCGAGCCCTGGTCCGGGAAGATCCCACATGCTGCAGAGCAGCTAAGCCCGTGTGCCACAACTACTGAGCCTGCATGCCATAACTACTGAAGCCCGTGCGCCTAGACCCCATGCTCTGCAATAAAGAGAAGCCACTGCGATGAGAGGCTGGCGCACCGCAACGAGGAGTAGCCCCCACTCACCGCAACTAGAGAAAGCCTGTGTGCAGCAACGAGGACCCAATGCAGCCCTAAATAAATAAATAAATACATACATACATACATACATACATACATAAAACCATGAGATATCACTACACACCCATTAAAATAACTAAAATTTAAAAAATTGACCATAATCAAATGTTGGCAAGGATGTAGAACAAGTAGAATTCTCATTCCCTGCTGGTAGGAAAGCACAAGGGCACAGCCATTTTAGAGGATAGTTTGTTAGTTTCTTTAAAATTTATGCATGCAGCTGCCAAACAATCCAACCACTTGCCTCCTAGGTATTTACCGAAGAGAAGTGGAAGCATACATACATATAAATACTCATACAAGAATGTTCATAGCATCTTTATATGTAATAGTCAAAAGCTGAAAACAACTCAAATATCCATCAATAGGTGAATGGATGAACACACTGTGATGTGGGATGCTGCTAAGCAGGTAGCCTATCAGATGCTTTGCCGTTGCATAATACGGACCACCATCCTTTTAGCTTTCAGCTTTCCATAACAGTTTTCTTATTGCCTACTGCTCATCCCCACATAAGCCAATGTCACATATTTAGGGTTTTTATTGTGTCTTTGGTACTTCTGTTACTAATTTCTGTATCAGTCAGAATGGGCCAGGTTATGCTGTGATAGTAAACAACCCCAAATCTCAGTGGCTTAAAATAAAGTTTTGTCTCTTTGTTGTGAACTGTATGTCCATTGTGGGTTGGCTGAAAGTTTTGTTCTCTGTTCTCACTTTGAGACCGAGGCTGACAGAGGATTCATTATCTGAAACATTGCTGGTTGCTGGGAATGTTGACTTTGTGTAAAGTTGTTTGATTTGTAGGAGTTGAGATAGATTTTTCAAACCAGGCTGCTTTTTTATTTTCATCAGCATTAGTTGACTTTTGTCTCATTTTAGGATGCATTAAAATCTTGAAGTAATGACACCGATAACTATAACTTTCTTTGATCCATAGTATAAAAAGTTATACAAAATACCTTTCAACTTTTATTTATCTAGTAAGCACTTTTTTAGATGGGAGGTATATTCCTGTGTGTTAGACGAGGAACCTGAATGCAGAGAGGGTAAACGAATGGCAGTTGCCACATAGCAGTGAAACTGAACTAGAACCCAGGGTTCCCATTTTAATACTTTCGTGCAGATCAGAGAAAAATAAAAGTACCATCTATTTACACATTCTTTATTTTGACAGTCTCTTCAACAGGCCACATTTAAGAGGCGTCTCGTACCCTCTGCTGCCGGTGGCTGGGACACGATGGATCACACAGGGGCAGTGGACACCGAGGATGAGTTGGGACCTTTAGCCCATCTTGCTCCAAGTCCTCAAAGTGAAGCCGTTGCCCACGAATTCCAGGAACTCTCCTTGCAGTCCAGTCAGCACCTGCCCCCTCTGAACGAAAGGAAGAATGGTGAGTTCAGCGTGTGTGGTGGGAGCTTACCTCTGTGAGCTAAACGTATCCCTTTTTGGTAGTAACTTTTTGGTCCGTTCCATTGGGCAGCCTGTCACGAAGGAGAGAACCTCAGGGGGTGCTGGCTGGTTTTGAGGAACAAGCAGAGTTTCACTTTCTATCCAATTCTTTCATTATTTCCCCAATAAGTAGCAAAGTTATCTTTGGAAATAAGCTTTAGGTTCAACCATTTTAGCACAAGCAGAAGATTTCATGCTAGCATGGTACTGGAAAGCAGCTTCCTATGTTGACTCCAGGGAAAATAGATGGTGGATTTGACTAGATTCTCCTGCCATGTTCCCCGTCTCCAATGTGTTGCACCTTAATTTCAGAATTGGCAAAATTTGAGCTATCTTAATGATCACTAAGAAAGGAAGAATTTCTTGTTTGAGTATTTTTTGTATTAATGAGTATAGGATATGGCCATATTCTCAGTCTTCGGCTGGCTCATACTTGTATACAAAATGAATATCTTCTGTTCATTTGTTATCTATTCAGGAAATTCTCCTGATTAATCAGAAGCATCCCAGAGTCTCCAGAAAACAGTACTGTCAGTTTTTAACAAAAATGAGTAGAGATAGGCGATATACGTCTATTTTTAATACTTAAAACATAAAAACCAACAAAGTATTAAAATTTACAAACACACCAAGCATACATATTACAGGGAAAGAATTAAGAATTTCAACTGGATTTCCCATGCTTTCCACAGTTCTGATGAGTCTTACAATCCCAAATGTGTTTTTTTAATTTCAGTTTTAAAAGCCAGAAGAAATAAAACTTTCCCTGTAGAGCACTTCCTTACATATCTTGTTACTTATCTTCTAAGTGTTTCTAAGGGTTTCTAAGAACCTTCTAAGGGTTCTAAGTGTTTCCTGATCCTTTTCAAATAATGGCCTTATCTTATTCAGGAAAATGGATTGAAGACTTATGCTGCTATTCTCAGTTCTTCAGTGCATGTCTTTGGGGTGTACTTGTTCTCCCTTCCAACAAGATATCTGATACTTGTGTCTGATGCTTGTTGGGCACAACCCTTGTCCAGTGCGATTGGTATAAAGCAACATCTTGCTCGGAGCTGTCAAAGCCTTCAGGAGGCTGTGTTTGGCTGGTGATGGCTTTAGAACCTTCCATCAGTTAGGAGCCTAGCTTTGTCTTAGGCAGTGGCTGAGAGAGTATAACCACGTTAACTGAAAAATGACTAAATTGGTCAAATTTACACAGTATACTTGGACCAGTATAATATTCAAATTATTTCCCTCAAAAAAAAAAAAAAGACCAAAATAAGAGTTGAACTGGTATAAAATTGCAGTAATATACAGTTGCTCAAGAAAATGGTCCTATGTAGCAGAGGAGGGACGTGTAAGGGGAAAGTTTATGCTTTGTGGTAGTTTTACTTGATATAGCTTGCCACATTCTCTTGCAAGAATGTTCTTTTGAATATATATGCCTGAACATAAGGTAAGCCCAAATATGAGGTAGTCCTCCCCTTATAAACTTTTAGAGGGAGGTAGATGAATGGTAAAAGTTAGAATTTATTAATTTAGTTACATGTATGTAATTAAAACCACATATTATGAAGCAGTGCAATAAAATAAAAGGATTGCTTTATCTACACTCATATTTCATAAAATTATCTTGCCCAAACTCTGCCTGTGTATCTGTGTGGTGTTTTTATCATCAGTAGAAAACCTCTGCATCATCCAGCTAGCACTAAAATCCAGGGCGTATCTTCATTTCTGTCTGTCTTGTTTAAGTTACAGCAGTTTTTAGATGCATGCACGATCTGACACTGAAGATTTTATGTCTAAACCACAAGTACCATTCACAAAACAGTGGGGCTGTTTTTGGTTTTTTGTGTGTCTTACAGTGTGGTAGTCATCATCACTCATGTTTGATTTGTGATTGGTCGTAACATTTTATGAGGCTATAATTTCTGTTATAGAATTTAATCACTTTTTTTTTTTGAATAGGTAATACACTTATCTGGCTTGAAATGTAGGGGGTACAAATGGGTACACAGTGAAAAGTAGGTCACCCTCCCAGTCTTGTCCCTCAGCTACCCAGTTACTTCTCCAGAATTAACTACTCTTACTTGTGTCCTTTCTGAGAGAACAGTATTTGACTACTTTTTTAGTTTAATTTTCTTTTTGAATTTTTGAATTTTATTTAATTTATTTTTTTATACAGCAGGTTCTTATTAGTTATCTATTTTATACATATTAGTGTATATATGTCAATCCCACTCTCCCAATTCATCCCACCACCACCATCCCCCCTCCACTTCCCCCCTTGGTGTCCATACGTTTCTTTACATCTGTGTCTCTATTTCTGACCTGCAAACCAGTTCATCTGTACCATTTTTCTAGGTTCCATATATATGCGTTAATATATATTTATTTTTCTCTTTCTGACTTGCTTCACTCTGTATGATGGTCTCTAGATCCTTCCACGTCTCTACAAATGACCCAGTTTCGTTCCTTTTTATGGCTGAGTAATATCCCATTGTATATATGTACCACATCTTCTTTATCCATTCATCTGTTGATGGGCATTTAGGTTGCTTCCATGACCTGGTTATTGTAAATAGTGCTGCAATGAACATTGGAGTGCATGTGTCTTTTTGAATTATGGTTTTCTCTGGGTATATGCCCAGTAGTGGGATTGCTGGATCATATGATAATTCTATTTTTAGTTTTTGGGGTTTTTTGGGTTTTTTTTGTGGTACGTGGGCCTCTCACTGTTGTGGCCTCTCCCATTGCAGTGCACAGGTTCTGGACGCGCAGGCTCAGCGGCCATGGCTCACGGGCCTAGCCGCTCCACGGCATGTGGGATCTTCCCAGACCGGGGCATGAACCCGTGTCCCCTGCATTGGCAGGCGGACTCTCAACCACTGCGCCACCAGGGAAGCCCTATTTTTAGTTTTTTAAGGAAATCCTATACTGTTAACCTTATGGGAGTTCCCTTGTATGTTATTTGTCGTTTTTCCCTTGTTGCTTTCAATAATTTTTCTTTGTCTTTAATTTTTGTCAGTTTGATTACTATGTATCTCAGCGTGTTTCTCCTTGGGTTTATCCTGCCTGGGACTCTCTGTGCTTCCTGGACTTGGGTGGCTATTTCCTTTCCCATGTTAGGGAAGTTTTCGACTCTGATCTCTTCAAATATTTTCTTGGGTCCTTTCTCTCTCTCTTCTCCTTCTGGGACCCCTATAATGCAAATGTTGTTGCGTTTAATGTTGTCCCAGAGGTCTCTTAGGCTGTCTTCATTTCTTTTCATTCTTTTTTCTTAATTCTGTTCTGCAGCCGTGAATTCCACCATTCTGTCTTCCAGGTCACTTATCCGTTCTTCTGCCTCAGTTATTCTGTTATTGATTCCTTCTAGTGTATTTTTCATTTCACTTATTGTATTGTTCATCTCTGTTTGTTCTTTAATTCTTCTAGGTGTTTGTTCTTTAATTCTTCTAGGTCTTTGTTAAACATTTCTTGCATCTTCTCGATCTTTGCCTCCGTTCTATTTCCGAGGTCCTGGATCATCTTCACTATCATTATTCTGAATTCTTTTTCTGGAAGGTTGCCTATCTCCACTTCATTTAGTTGTTTTTCTGTGGTTTTATCTTGTTCCTTCATCTGGTGCAAAGTCCTCTGCCTTTTCATTTTGTCTGTCTGTCTGTGAAGTGGTTTTCCTTCCACAGCCTGCAGAATTGTAGTTCTTCTTGCTTCTGCTATCTGCCCTCTTGAGTACTTTTTTAAAAGCAGTGTTTCAAAATCTTCTTTGTAACAATATCCAACACTTTAAATTTTAAGGTTACTATCTGGGAATAATTAATGTGTTGGTTCTTTTCTTCTTTCTTTTTTCCCCCCTTGTTTCTCTTAAGACGTTTCTATAAACATCCTAAAACTAGCTTCGAGTGAGGTTGATTTTTAAGCTAATGCGTTTTCCTCAAGTACCTTTTTGTTCAATATTAAGTAAATGAAAGAGAATCTCATGATACGAGATACTGTGTGAGGACTCAAATATGAGACAGTCTCCTCTTTTCTAATTAGTGACTTCAGGAAGTTAAAAGCCTTACCTTATATTCAGGCATATTACGCTTTAGTTTCAGGCTTATGATATGTTAGCCTAATTTGTGTATACATTCCAAGGAGTAAATGGAATTGTACAGCTATCAGAAATCCAGGTTTTTGATACAGGAATGTGAGCGGAGTAGAAAGAACCACATCAAGCCATCTATAGATGGAAGAACCATAACTTTCTTACCTTAGTGATTTTTTTAATGTTTATTCTTCATCTTTTCAGGTCTTCTTAATGCCATGTTTAAATCATATCATGTACAAAAAGTAGATGTTAGCCTCAAAATTAACACAAAGTACTGTTTAGATATTATGAAATAATTGAACATAGATAGTTTCTTGGTGATTGTGTTTTATTGTTGTTGCTAAGCCTTTGAATTTCACATCTCAGAATTACTTTCTTTGGGGAAGGAAATGAAGATATTTCAATTTGGGATTGGTGTATAAAAGGATTATATCACCAAATAGTTTATAATTAAACTTTACAAGGAAAATGAAGTTGATATTTAAGTACAGTAACAATTCTAGGATCTTCCCTTATTTTTGGTTAATACTTCTATTGGCAGTGGTAGTGGAGTGACAGAATATTCCCACTACTGGAGTAAGTATGAAAGATGTTTAGTAAAGATAAGCTAGGGCTTTCCTTTTACCCCTGAACGTGGCCAAAATATTTCTATAGTTAGTGGCACCTCAATAGTAAGGCAGCCATTTAGGCAATGGACTCTTCCCAACAAGATAGTCCTTCATAAAGGAAAGTGGGTGTACTTTTACTAAATAATGTACCTTTACTAAAACAATGCATACACAGGAAAATTGAGCTTTGTTTTGACATTTTATGCACGTAACAGATCCATTTTCATGCTTCAACGTTAACGTTTTCATTATTAACACCGG